TGCTTGCTTTCCATTTTGACAAGATCCCATCAAACAAACCCCCAGCATTCATATCATCCTTCGCTCTCCCGTCAGCAGCATTGAAAGCGAACTTCCATGATCCTGTCTTCGTGAAGAGTACGCAAGCATCAGCGGTATCCTTTGCACCTGCCGATGCACACAATGGGGAGGACGTTCAACTAGTAGTAGGTAGTCAGGTTGGTGAGAAGAAAATTTAGCAGTGTTTCTCACTACTCTTACTTCCTCCATCGTATCAAACTCTTTCGAAATAGGGTTGAAGTGATTAAGCATGCTTCCTTGCTTAAGCACTGCCCTGTCTCTTATTTTTGAGGTCGATTTAAGCCTATTCAGCAACGTTTTGGAAGTTCTTTTATAGAGATTGTCGCATTTCTCTTTTGTTATATCCATCTGTGAAGGCAATCAGTGATGTATTCTCAAGTCAATGTGACCAGTTCCTTGATTTACCTTTTCTAACCAGCTTCATGCAAATCCCTTGAAGGGAAGCTAGTAGCTACTCGAAAACGCTCTTTTTCTAAGACCACAGCAATTTGATGCAAAGGAAGTAGTGTCAGATATATTGACCACGATAGTATCACTAACTTAGTAGAAATGGATAAGGGGATTATGTACACAATCAGTGAATATGTTTGATGACCTAGAAAGAGCTAAAGCCGCGCATCCCTGCAACTCCATGCGGTCGTACACTTTATCGCATTATTCTATGATCCGTCAGAAAAAGCACCAGATCTATTCACCTGTTTTTATACGTTTCCATCCCTCCAATTCACAGTGCTATCTTTGCTAATGGCTTCGTTAATAGAGGCAATTAAGAAGAGATTAGAAGTCGGAGTGTGTGTGTATAGACGCGAATTGACCAATGACACGATGCTTATCTCTGAGGGTCTCTCGCACTCACTGCTTTTTAATGCAAACCATCCCTGATATTAAATGAATCGACGCTTTACTGGGGCACAATGTTGATTTCGAGGCATTTTGCAAGTGAGACATTAATGAGTGTGCCGATAGTTAAGACGGTGGGAAACTTTGCTAAAATTTTGAAGACTGTCCTGGCTTCTAACACCGAATTATGGAGTTTTAAGAGAGGAAGTGAAAATTCGTGTGCGGCATGGCCACCTAATACACAATACAAAAGCGTCACTGCGAGGTGGGAAGAAATAGGTCCGGTATGCATTGTACAGGTAGAGCGCACCAGCACCAACATGGGCAGTACAAATCTATTTTGCAATGGAATGTGATGCTATTGTCGTTAGTCCCTTGATGCACGTGCGAATCGCATCAGGGAAGAGAGGTTGAAGAACATGAGGGGTTTACATATAAGCGCCTATCTCATTCTATCCCGACAAGACTTGACAGGAGTGCACTATATTGACTCACCGATGAGGTCAAAAACTGCTAAATTCTAAGGTAGGTCTTCGCCACTCATCTTGTGCTCTTGTTTGGCAGCATCGCTTGATCCCAAATTTCAGTTAACTACCACCACTTATTGCATCAGTTCACCACGGTAAGTAAAGTAAGACCATTCGACACGTTTTTGCACATCAGTTGGTTGAAGATCTATTGCAAAGCTGGATGACACTGCTGGATGATTACTGTCATCCCTTAAGTGAAGAACAAAATGTACTTATGTAAAGTTAGTAGTAAATGAGGGTAGAACTAGGTAAGAAACTGCTCTCAATGTAGTGCAAATGAACTTTCTCCTCAAATGGTGGTGGTGAGGTTGACTTTGTGACCTATGTTACCTCACCTGCATTAGTAATGTCTAGTATAAATACTCTTATTTTGCATCTGTGAGCAATCGGCTCCACTCCACTACCCTTTGCAGATGCAGTGTGCCGCAGAGGCAGTGGAGTGTCAACAACTTGCTCTGGCATGGCCGTTCTTTCCAATATTGTTTGCCTGTAGAAGAGCTACCTCGTGCACGTGTAATTTACGTAGCTCTTCCAGTCCGGCGCGTACAGCAGTAAAAGACAGTTAAGACCTCGATTTTTCTTTGTTGCAACATGACGTCCTCATCCATTCAGTAGGCACAAATTCTGCTTCCTACTGCCTGACCATTATTATACTTTCTTCATCGAGAAAGCTAGGCACTGGTAGTAGAGATATTCCACTGCTTTACTGATCGCTCAATCATCGTCAAAATCGGGTCATTTTGACTATGTACTCACGCACACAATCATAGAAATTGCTCGGTTTTATTCCCCCTTTAAAATGGTGCAAGTACGGCGAACTGATTCTCCCCACCGCCAGCCTCACCTTACCGCTGTCCCTTCAAATTTCAGACGTATTACTGCGTTGTTTTCAGAGCAGATCCTTGGTGTTGCATCATTTGCTGGCTGATTGCGAAAGGTAAATATGGATGCTGTCTCCCAAGTAAGAAGCTCTTGATGCTTTTGTGACAATGAAGAAACGTTTGCTAGCGTTTGTCTGTGCCCGGATAGAGCAAGAACAAGTACTAATGGGACAAACACTATTCGCTGCATAAATTCAGCCTTAATCACATATGTGGTGAGAGGACTAAACAAGTGGATGCAGCTTTTCTCATCTCTCGAGACAACAGCACCAACTGATTCTTTTGTGAAGAGCTTACCTTTTAAATCGCGTTTTGGTTGTTTAATTGGTGTAGCTTTGGTGACGATAGTGCTGCTATTGAAACACTGTTTAGAATTGAGGTGATGCAAGCATGGCCATGCATTTTGTCATCACACAACGTAGCTTTGCACCAAAGGATCATTGGAAAGTGCAACTGAGTAGCGTATATAAACTTACATGAAACGCTTACGCCCTCAAATTATTTGTGATAATGCAATTTACACTGAGTGAGTTGTCATTTTAATGAGGACGCATGAACGCGAACACTAGCTGTGTGATGAAAATAGGCGCTGAGGCACTCTCCTCCTTTCAGGTGTGCTTATGAGAGCACTTGGTCTTGTCCTCCTAGTTGCTGCGTCATGTTGGTCAATCACAGATGTTGAACGAGCACAAATGCTTGAGGCTCATCACCAAGTGCGACAAAGTGTGAACCCGCCTGCTGCTAGCATGAAATTGATGGTAAGTGCATAGTGGACGTTAAGGAAGGATTTGACTGCGTCCTCTGTTGCCGGTAGCTTTTAGTAGGTAAAATGGGTTCCGCATTTGATAGCATTGCAGTTTCATCTAGTTAAATTTCCATTCATTAGTCTGATGGTTATGTTTAATTGACATAGAGGTATTCGAAGAAGCTGGAAACGCTGGCTGACAAGTGGGCTCGTCGATGCGAGTTCGAGCATCCGAATGGAGACGAACATCCAGAATATCATGCGCTTGGACAAAATCTCGCCCTCGCCATCGGTTTTAAGCCGCCTTTAACTGAGGCTTCTTGTGGTTGGACAGGAGAAGTTAAGTTTTATCAGTATGCCAATGATTCGTGCAGTCACATTTGTGACCACTATACACAGGTGAGTTTATTTGTGCGCCTAGAACAATGCATCGCTCCTTCATTGTGGTCGGAGGTGCATGTAATGCCCTTCTTCAACCTCCACATTTGCCTACCGAAATATGTCGATGTATGAGGAAGCGCTAGACAAATACGCATAAACAAAAGCCACGCATACCAATATATTGACATTTATTTTATTACTGAATAGATGGTGTGGGCAGACACGACAGAAGTAGGATGTTCAATGAGGAGATGCGATGGACTTAGACCGAAGCAGAATAACCCACAATATATTACTGTCTGTCAATACAGTCCTATGTATGTTTTGCCTTTCGAATAACTAGTAGAAGCGTACAAATGTGTCCGATGTGTTTAGTGTGCTTTGTTTCTATTAGGGGAAATTACATTGGCAGGAAACCCTACACTGAAGGACCGAGTTGCAGCCAGTGCGCCAAAGGAGAGCAATGCTACCGCAACCAGTGCGTAAAAGGTTTTCAGTGGAAGAGAGTATTTCCCTTATCTAAGCTCCCACATCTCAAGGATAGAACGATGCCAAAATGCAAACCTACTGAATTTTATTCCAGCGTGATATACAGGGGAGCATAATCCGACCTCGACAATTATGAAGTCATTAAGCTCACCCTTTTTTTCACTTTCTCTATTAAAATTTGTAATACCGAGTTCAGAGTCAATAAAAGTAATGTTTGATTTTGGTGTTTGGGATGTTGCTTTGCGGCATATGAGAATTTATGAAATTCCCTAACGATGAATGAGTCTGCGCACGGATGGAGGTGGAGAAGGTCACGTGAGGACGACGCAGATGCGTTAAATGTTGCTTGGCCCCACGATGCCTGATTTAAATAACTAATCGGCATCGTATTGCCAGCATCCACACCGTAAAAGCCCCAAGGCCCTGTCTCCTGTGCATGTCCTTAGTGCTGAAATTTCCACGACGGTGCTGCATTAATCTACTCATTTCTTCAAACAATGACAGCTTCTGTCATTGCACCGGCAAAACGACTGACGGGTTTTCAACCAAGTTGAGAAGGGCAACGTAATATTTACTGCGCTGCAATAGTAAAGTGAATGTAATTCACTGGCAGGCAGTTGATAAACGATTGTAAGCATTTGTCTTTGTAGCAGGCGTAAAAACATATTTGTAAATTTACATTATTACCTCTTAATTAACTGAGCGATGTGTTGGAGGAAAAACAGTTCCTTGTTTTGCTCGTTATGTGGAATGTTTGAAGAACAAGTGCATGATTTTTGAGGCCCGAATGTTTCAGAATTTTAGATTAAAATCACGAACCGATGGTGAACTGTAGAACGAAATTTTAGCGAATGTGTATAAAAAGTGTAGTTAAAGTAGGAATATCAAAGGATTTTACATACCCATATTCACAAAAGGGAACGTAAACTGAAAACACGGAAAAAAACATGATGGCAATTTTACTCCTCTGCAACCTGACTACCTACTACTAGTTCAACGTCCTCCCCATTGTGTGCATCGGCAGGTGCAAAGGATACCGCTGATGCTTGCGTACTCTCCACGAAGACAGGATCATGGAAGTTCGCTTTCAATGCTGCTGACGGGAGAGTGAAGGATGATATGAATGCTGGGGGTTTGTTTGATGGGATCTTGTCAAAATGGAAAGCAAGCA